GCAGAACACTGATGAGAACAACCGAATTGTAAATTGCTCAAATTACAGAGTTAATTGGTAAAATAGAAAAACCATATATTAAATCGTTAATTTACAAAATATTAGTCCTTCATATTAAACTGAACTGTTCCTGTTTCAAATATCAATCCATTGACTGACATTTCATTGTTCATGTTTTTTCATACAAATTCCATTGTGTTGCCGCTCTTCCTCTCTTGATTTTTCCCCATCTTCTGCAGCCAGCCATTACGTTTGAAACTCGCGTTATATACTACTTATTATCTCAATATAAGTAGCGCGCACCACACTCCTCCCCCCTTTTAATAAGCTGTCGTCGTAGTCTTTCTGATCGCCGTACGCCTGTCTTCCTTGGTGTTTTTCGTGACTCACACATTTGACTATCTTGAAACCATCTCTGCAATTGACTAGCATTTACGCGCTTCTGCTTGTCTTCTCTCCGGATTGTGTAAACCGCGCCGCGTCTCTCCGTGATGACGTACGGTCCTTCCCACTTTGGGATCAGCTTTCCCGACCCTGATCCCCCTGTCATGCTACTTTTCCGTTCTCTACACTTTACTAGGTCCCCCACTGCAAAAGGTTTCCACGTTCTCCTCTGTTGTTCCGCCTTCTTTATGTCTGATATTTGCTTCTTTTCCACGTTCCTGATTGCCTCCCTCCTCTCTTTTCTTAACCTTGTTGTCGTCCATTTCTGTTGTTGTGGCCAGGTCTTGTTGTGCATTGGAAGTCGTGGTTGTCTGCCATACATGAGCAAAAAAGGTGATTTCTTGGTTGTTCCTTGTATGGAGGAACGATGCGCCAGCAAAATCAATGGTAACTCTTTCTCCCAATCTCCTCCTTTAGATGCTAACCATTCCTTTAATGTCCGGTTGTTTCTCTCTGTAGGCCCGCTTGTCTGAGGATGATACGGTGTAGTTCGTATCCTCTTGATGCCAAACTGCTTCAGACGGGCTTTAAACTCGTCACTTTTAAGAAACCAGTTGATCCTCATTATTTCTATTATTTGTACTCAGTTAATTCAACCAACTGCTTACCACTCGTCAATCAATGTTTCAACAAATTTCACCCGATATAAACCTCGCCAAATAAATTAATATTGAAAAAAGGTAGTTTAATAGCTTGCAAAATTCAAGATACGATGGAAATAAAGACATTTCAAGATCTAATGTAACCCATTCGAATTTATGCACATAACCTGACGTTATATTAAATAGATTCTTATTGTAGTTAAAAAGATACTAACACGTACATTGAACTAGTATACACCATAGTTTACATCAGAACTTTGTAAGACAACAATTGAGAACCTGGAATCACTCAATAGGTATTTCATCCCACACTAGGGCTAAAAAATCTAAAAATCTCAACAAATCAGCAGCAATAATAAATGTAGATTTATTGAAATTTTACATCAAGTTCTAATTTAAAATTTTTCATCAAGTAAGTTTTTTTATATTACTAACAAGGAATCATTTTGTCAAATTAAAGGATACAGAGAACTCAGTTAAGTCGCTTAACTAAGCTTTTCAACTCGGAATCAGGTCATTTATGTATCTTAAATGATTGTGTGCCTAGCGCATACAAGGTAACAAGATCATGGGGAGTGATCATCCTGAATCTATAATTTGTCGTTATTTTAGAGAGACGTGGAAAGCTTAAAACACAGCAGGATTTATTTATGATTTACAATTTTCGAGTGCGCAAGAACACCGATAATGATTGTCTATTACAACCTGTGAAATGTTTATGGTACCACCTCAGTTGATCAATTCATGTGTTTTCTCGTAAAACAATGTGGGAGTTCGAAGATCAAAACGCTGTAATCCGATTTAAATGTGGCATATGTCGATCCCCAAAAGTTTATTTTATCTCTCAAAAATAGGGTGACTTGTGTATGAAATATGGCAAAACAAAATTTAGTAGTCTCACCGGATAGGTTGGGACGCCAAACTATGTAGAAATATTGGCTAATTAAGGTGCCTAATTGGTGAAAACTGGGTTCCGACATTGGTCGTTGATCAAGTTGGTGATGCAGATTAATGCTTTAGTGATATCAATGAATAATAAACAATATATCCCTGTACTTTATTGCTCAATAATAGAATAGCTCAGAGTTTGTTTCCATATGGTATCGAGAATATGAAATTCTTCACTAGACTACAACAATCGTGCATAGTTTCCCATTGTAGTGAGTAACTGTCAGTTAACTACTCCGAAAAGTTGAATTTTCATTAGTCTTTGCAAAATATAAACAAAATCCGTAAATCTACTGATCCTGCAATTTAAAGCTCTTCACACCGATTGTTATCATTCTATTCAACTTAAGTTCAAGAAAAATTGAAATTATCCCAAAAGATTCTCCAGCTAATTCCATTTTTAATAGTAATTAAAACATTAACTACATGAACGATCGTGAACACACTATTTCAACCAATGAATATTATTATTATGATTATGTATCAAAAGTTTATTTTCGTTCATAGGATCGTCTTTATTATGACCAATTGAAATCATTTGTTGCAGAAAATGAATATATGACAGATCACTTAATTTGTAAGGTACAGCTGAATTACGGATTTTTCATTTGTTTAACAAACAATATGTTCATATCTTCAGGAAGTACAACTTACTGCCTCCAATGATGACATGCACTTTGTGTTTTGTGACTATACATATCAGGTAAATAAATGCTTATAAAAGTTTGTCGAATGTAATTTTCTTTCATCCTAAATATTTTACACAAAATGAACTGTTGTTTATTCTAAGCCGTTCAGTCACTAACTTGACGTTTACTTACGATAAAGCGAATTGTAGATCTAAATCTTATCTTGCTTTTCGCAGTTAAGATAACAAATCATTGTTATGGCCTTCAAATACTTTAACCGGGTTCTCAGGACTGAAAGCATCTCTTATTCAATTTGATTTTCTTCACTCGCGTTCTTCTTTTTGTTTGGAACAACAAGATGAAATTTATTCACCATGATTAATCACTTACATTGTATTTTAATAGGGCATAGCAATAAAACATATGATAATGTAGTATTAACGATTTAGAGCTAGTCATTTGAGTGTCAGCGTTTAATTCACAATTATTTGTCTTACACGGATTCGTACCTATAAGTCATTCAAAAATGGTTAGTCAAATCACATGGTAAATAACTGAATTGTAAACTTCAATAATATCTAGTTTCAAATACGTAATCAGATACTATGACTAACTTCACCCTTCCTAGCATTAGTGACATATGCGAATACTTACAAAAAGACAAGTAGGTTCCACGTCATCTTTCTGTACGCCACACCACTGACACGAAACATAATCATTTAAGGTTTGAAACGATCAGTAATGGCTGTTAGTCAGGTTCATAAGAAGGAATATTACTTACCGTGATTGTATCTATAAGATGTTCCCATAGCTCGCCATCCTAAACATCGTATTGTCTATTAAAAGTATCCTTCAAAATTATTAGCGCTTTTTTTGTCTAATATTATTATGGTGATTAAAAAATATGATTTAAGTAAATATTTTAGTGATTATTAGTGAAAAGGAAATGGAAAAAATAGTGTACATAATCAAAATGTCCCTACACCTCACTCCTGAAATATATATTGCATGAATGGTCATGATATTTCACTACTAAACAACTAGCTGAAATCCTACAACGAGGTAGAAATCAGCTCTATAGATAGAACAGATTTAATTGATTCCATTACTGAAGTCAATATAAACACGAGGAGAACATTGTCACTAGATGTTACTTGACGCTTCACAAATGCACCACTCAAAAGGATAGCATGCTTCTTGTGTTACGATATTAAATATAACGACCTGAATATCAGTATTCCGAAACAATTTCTAAAGGAACATGCCCATTCAATCACTTATATATTCAGACGACTATCTTCCATATATATATATATATAATTCAAGACAGTTTTCTTAACTTAATTGTAATTGGGTTTGCATATTGTAATTAATGATGGTGTCAATATGGGTTGTTCTAACAATGGAAAACTTATTATCGAATATCTTTTCATGGTTAATAAACATAAGGCAATCGAAACTTCACCAACACCTGTTTTTCAAGTAACTTTGAGGGAAAATGTTTAGATTTTTGATTGGTAAATCAACTCATACGATATGTAGTATAAACAATAAATAAATTAACACTAACTTTATGCGAAAATTAATAGCTAACACTAAATCAACCAAAATAATTAATAAAATGTATATTTACGATTTCATTTTATCAGATTCTTTTGCCTTTTACAAGAGATCAGACCATATTATTACATTTTAAAACAATGCTTGGATCACCACCAAGAGTAATTAATGAAAATTCTAAAGAAGCATATATTTATCCTCCTTCTGGAGTCATACCATTTCATGGTTTTTCCATGTATAGTAAGTGTTTCTGATTTTTCTTTACAAATGTATTCAAATTTATTCAAATAATCTATTTTAAACTCTTATATGACTAACCTTTGTACTCCTAACTACTTTTGTCCATGGAACTTCCATTTTTCCATGTCACCGTAAAACGGTGACTAAAACATCGAGTAAATTAGATATATCTTGCCAAGTCAAATAACGTAAGCCAACTCGAATTCAAGTGTAGAGCTAGTTTAATGAGTAACACAATAGTTCACCCACCCAAAGATTTTTGAATTTGTAAACCATCTGAGTCATTTTAGTCATTTTTAAGTATAACCAAGCTGCAACTAGAACTTAATTTTTGTCTGTTACTCCTGTCTAGTCGAGCTAATCAAGCACTGTTATCGTTTATTAATTGCTGATTTAGATTGTGTGACTAAGTCAATAGAATTTTCAGATGTAACGATTGTGAACTTTCTTTGATAAATTCTACTATATCAAGCATTTAGCATCAAGGTGGATATATGGCATAAAAGAGAATTGTTACAACTTACATTAGCATAGATAATGTTAATCAGAATATTATTTGTTATACCAATGTGTTATTATGTAATAACATACTACTTTAATAGTTACTAGAGCATTTTTACTTAACGATAATTATAATTTCTTCACTTGAT